TTTTTCTTAAAGAAGATGTTGTTTCCAGATGGTGAACCTGTGATGTTAACATCACCCGACAAAGGAAACATCGGTTTAAAAATTGTTGTGTAAAATACGGAGTATATTTTCCTATTACATGTGTATGTGGATGCCTTACAGGTAATTGATTGTCCAGTACTCAGCAATAAACAAATTTAGAAGAAGAATAAAAGGACAGCCGATGAAAGCCGTCTTACTCGAGAAGATGCAGAATAATAAGTAGCATTAGATATTTAGATCACAAAGAAAAATACTGCATTTATTTCCGAGTCAATGTGCCCTTCTTTCATGAAGTTTTTTTGGAAAAAAGAAGGCGTCATGCAAAATGTCAGTCGCATTTACAATGGCATATCCATACAATGAAAAAGAAGATGAAGAAGAAGAAGAAGAAAAGATGCTCACAGAAATTGAAGAAAGCCATATCATTTCCATCGCAGGCCCACCACACATTGGCTATTATTTATTTCTCAGATGGAGTTGGGGTGTCTACAATTTCTGTTATCTTCCTTTGCAGCTCCCCCTTGTTGGCTCCAACCAGTTTTGCCGTTTTATCTTTGTTGATTACCGGTTCATCTTCTCCTTGTACGGGTTTGAAGAAGAAGAAGGTCGGGGTTGCTTTAATATCCAAGGCTGTGCTGAAATCCTGACACACAAAATCATTTCCGCGCATAAGTTTAAGTGATGAATTTATTACCAAGAGGTCATCATAAATTCGGCCCTAATATTTTAAAAGGCAGGAAAGGAAGGGGCCACCCTTCAATTGACACTAGTAATCCGTTGCCACATTATGGAAATAAGGGAGTAGTAAAATGGGATAAAATGTATCATAACTCTATTTTCAATTTATACTCACGGTAAGTTGATCAACATCGACAGTCAGAAACATCAAAGAAGGATATTTCTCAGAAAGCTCAGCGTACAGCTGTGCAATTCCTTGACACGGACCACACCATGAAGCACTAAAATTCGCAACAACCTGCAGAACATCAATGATTCTGAGCTTCAAATACTTGACAGATGCAAACTAACAACATGAACACAAGTTTATAGACAGATAATAATCACATGTTTTCCATCTTTCTTCGCTTCTTCCATCTTCAGCTTCCATTCTTCTTCTGTAGTTACTAATTGAACATTTCCTCCAGCTAATTTAAGTTGAGGGTCTGACTCATCCCCATCACCTTTAGAGTTTTCCTGCAATTTATGTACTTTGTCATTGCCATAAAAAGGCACTAGTCATACTTCTGCCGGCCAAGCTGACACTAATTGATCAAAATGCTCACAGATGTTGTAAAGTACATCTATTTCCAGTATAATTCCACAATATCCGTTTCAATCCATTCGGTACATACCCTTAAGCTAGAGCACATCGAACCAATATAAAAGTACAGTTCCACATATATGGTCTTGAGTTACTCCCGTAGGATTTTTCTTTACACTGTTTGGTTCAAGGAATTTGGAAGAAAAAGAACAAAAAATATTCTCTCATTTTTCTAACCAAAATGAGAAAAATATGGTTTTCCTGTGCATTTTGTCTTTTCATTTTTTTTCCTTCCACTTTCCTTATCTTTTCCTTTCTAACCAAACAAGAGAAACGGTTTTCCATTTCATTTTCTTTTCTTCTCTTTAAACTCCCTTGAACCAAACATAGTGTTAAGGATTCAATCTCAAGTTGTAATATGATATCTGAACCTAATAAATTCAACTGAGGTATTTGGTCCTAGTCAGCCTTATAAAAAACACATATTTCAAGATTGGTCTCCTCGAATGAGCAAACATCTTAATAGAAGCAGCACCACTTAATCGATATGGGAAAAGAAATTTTAAGAACAGGATTTCAGTTTCAAAATTAGGCTCTAGGAAGACCAAACTTAGATTTCATGAATCAGTAATTATTATGATCATTAAATAAAACCACTCTATTCCTACTCATTGAAAATCCACAAAAAAAGGACCATATCGACAGAGACCATCGAAATATAGCCATAGAAACCAAATTTCTCAATGGCACGCCCACAAATACTTTCACCAATTTCAGGAATGGCTCCTTCCACCGAGTGAATATATCCTCAAAAGCTCAATGTCATTACGCTGGACAATTTATTCTCACTCCACATGAATAGTTTTTATATAGTAATAATGTCCTCCCTCCATTGCACAATAATTGTCTAACTTTCCTTTTTCGTCCATCCTAAACAAATGTCTCATTTCCTTTTTAAGAGAACATTTCTTTCTTCTCTGCATAAATTATAACCACATACTTTTCATTCTTCAACATTTTTCTTTAATGAAAAAATTCCGTGGTCAAACTGAGACAATATTTATGAGACGAAGGGAGTAATATTCATTTGTTCTAAGCAAAAGGCTATCTAGACGAAAGGTAATGGTAACATTGCCTTAACTTATGCATTAATTTTAAATTGGCTGCATATTCCTATTAAGGGTGAATCATGCAAGATGCAACACCAAGGCAAGGCAAGGAAATATACCCAAGTAATAGCTCATTTAATGTATAATCAGCAAACAAATACCAACAAAAAGGTATGAAGCCAACAAACAATGACATTTTCAGCAGACTAGTGGCGAACGGGTGGTGTTTAAACGTATGTGACAATGTATTTCAGCTCGGAAAAAAAAAACTAAGAGGTTGGTCAGTAATGGTTATTTGACCAGCTGAACTGCTGAATTTTCAAAGGAAAGAGCATTGGGCACCCTCATCTTAACCCTAAAAAGAGTAAGAAGATCAAAAGTTGCTTATTCTACCAACATTGTTGGCTACCAAACGGACCCTGAAGAAGGGCAATTGAAGCCATGAAGAGCATAGTTGGTGCCTAATGGCAGGGAAAAAGAAAGCTGGAATAATAGGAAGAACTGTAGTTAGATCATGACCAAAAGAGGATTAATAGACAAACCGTAGGCTGAAAACACCTCTTGGGTAGGACATTCCCCATTGTGTAACACAACTGTCAAATTCGATCTTTCTCAGTATCCCGGCAAACTCAGATCAATTAAACTCCCGCTACCTAATGAAATTTGGAAGAGCCAGAGAAGTTAGTCACCATAAAAAACGCCTGCTAGCTCAATTGCTCCCTCCCACTTTACTTTTTCTTCCCTCCCTAAATTATCACCCATTTCAAATAAATCTCAATTACACCGTTTTCATTATCTTAAATCCTGTGCAGTAATTAACCAAGTAAAAAGAACCATCCCAGATTGGACTCATCACGAACTCTAAGAACCTAGATCTTGAGATCAATGTTACTCGCACTAGCAGAAGACAACTTTATTGTAGTGATAAACATTACACCACATCGCACCAGCAATCCCTTTTGATATCTACCACGGAAGTGAAAGTGAAAATGCAGTGGAAAAAGGAATTTATATTTTAAAACTGAAAACCTTTAATACTACTCATCTTTCAAAACGAAGAAGAAGAAGAACTAAAATCAACAAGGGATTGACGCGGCGATGGAGGACGAGCAGCTGTAGAGACAGTATAATTGCAAGAGAAAATAAGAGACGAACCAGAGAGGTCCTTGACGCGGCGGAGGAGACGATGGTTTACTAACTGTTAGACGGAGTTGATTTCGGGCATTAATTATCAGCTCTGCTTCTATCAGGAAGTTTCCAAATACGAGTACCGAATTACGGAATACGGACGACTACGTATTTCCAAATGGAGAGGGGTTAACTAAAGTTCACCCCAATGTGATATTATGAACTAAACTCCCATTGGAGTTTCTATGGTCTCTATTCAAAAAATTGGTGATTTTTGTACTCTTATTTCTTTCAAATTTTTTTGACTCTAAAATCAACTAAAATAAAAATAATAATTGAAGAAAGTTCGTGTCGATTCAAGTCGGGCCAGGTGAAGGTGTTAGGAGTTAAGAACCGTCAATTTTTTCACATAGGATACCGGAAGGGCCCCAATTGGAGTCAATGTGATACGTGAAACATGTCGGGTAGGGAGGAACTTCGAGCTTCCTAAAACTCCTGAGAAATATGAAGTATAAAACTAAGGTTTTGTTATTTCTCTTCTATGGCAATGGCGAGATTGCGAGAATGGTATAGCCATATATATATGTGTGTGTGTGTGTGTGGTGTGTGTGTGTGTGTGTGTGTGTATATATATGTATATATATATCTGTGTGTGTGTGTGTATATATATATATATATATATATATATATATATATATATATATATGGTATCTTTGTGCCAAGCTGGTTGCCTTCGGTCCCGTCGAGCACTCTGTCTACCTCGCAGTTCCTCGCGTTCCTCATCATGAGTAGGCCTTAACACGTCCCCCATGTCGGGCCCGTCAACTGTATCATCCTTCCCTGGTTGCACAACGACCTTGTCCTCAAGGTCCAAATTAGGGAACGAACATGGATTTACCTCCAATGCCTCCCATGTGGCATCATGAAGTTCACCATCAGACCACTGGACCATCGCTTGCTCGATCAACCGACCCTGATGTAGAATGGATCGTCGGATCAGCTCTGAAAGGGGTTCCCCTTCGACAAACTTGTGAGGGACGGCAGCATGTGATCCATGCAATTTCTGTAGGCGAGAGACATGGAAAACTGGGTGTATATGGGATGTTGGCGGCAATTTCAAACGAAAAACGATTGGGTCCATTTTCTCACCTTTAATGGACCATAAAAACAGCGGGAGAGCTTTGTCGAACGCTGCCGAGAAACAAAATGTTACCGGTACGGCTGCAACCGTAATAAAACCAAATCACCAACCTCAAAAGAGAGCTCCCAACAATTCTTATTAGATGTGTTCTTTATGTGGTGTTGTGTCGTAGCAAGGTTACATCTTAAATTAACCAAGAGAGTCTCTCGTTCTATGAGAGGGGCATCGATAGTTGGAACTTTACTCACCGGGGTTGTTGGGTAAAAAGGTAAGGGGGGGGGGGAATGTATAACGCCGAGAATGGCGTCGTCTAAAGACCTTCATGATAACGGATGTTCAAAGCGAACTCCGCCCAAGGTAACAAAACTGATCACCGCTCGAGTTTGTCCTGAGTAAATGACCGAATATAATCTTCAACGCTCTGGTTCACGCCCTCGTTCTGACCGTTTGTTTGTGGGTAAAAAGCGGTGCTCAGACACAATTTTGTTCCACTCAACCTCAAGGCTTCACACCAAAATGTGCTCGTGGACAGCGTATCTCTGTCAGAGATAATGGTCTTCGAAAACCCATGGAGTTTAACAACCATATCAAAAAAAAGAAATGCCACCCGGTGTGCATCAAAGGTAGTAGGTGTGCATAGATGCACAAATTTGGATAAACAGTCCACCACGACCAAAATGACTGTAAACCTACGAGATTGGGTTAAGCCCAAGATAAAGTCCATAGAGATGTCATCTCATACCTGGAGAGGAATGGGTAGCGGTTGCAATAATCCGGCCAGAGGCAGTGTTGAATACTTCGTCGTTTGACAAACAAGGCAGTCCCAAACATAACACAAGACATCGTTGTGCATTCCTGGCCAAAGAAAAACAATTGCCAATCGTTAGAATACCCGATGCACGCCTACATGCCCGACCATGGGTGTATCATGATACTCTTGGATTACTTCAGCGCATAAGGGAGATTACGCACCTAAACACCAACGGTGCCGGTAGAAAAGTAGGCCATCCTTAACATCGTAGGGACGAGGTAATCAGCCAACCACGTGCGCCTCATAAAAGGCTACAAGGTCGGGATCCATCTAGTTGGCTTCACGAATAGCTATCATCAAAGCTGCCACCAAGTGTGAAGTGAAGCTCATCTGAACGATGTTAGAACTCACCTCATCACGTCGAGATAGAGCATCTACAACTCGGTTGGAAGCCCTAGTTTTATACTCAATGCAAAAATGGAATCCCAACCGCTTATAAACATAATATTGCTGATCGGGTGTTTGGACTAGCTACTGGAGTAGCTCCTTAGAATTGCGCTGGTCCGTACGGATAAGTAACTCTCGACACAGCAAATATTAATGCCATTTTTGAACTCTCTCCATAATTGCATAAAGTTCTTTGTGGTAAGTAGAGACCGTCAACTTCCAAGTCCCAACTTTTTGCTAAAGAAAACTACATGTTGTTTCAGCTATAAAAGTACCGCACCCATCCAGTGGTGCAAGCATCCATTTTCATAATAAAGAGTAATGAAAAATCAGGTAAGCGCAACACTAGTGCACAAGACATAGCGTTTTTGAGCTAGACGAATGCCTTTTCCGCTGCGTTTTGGGTTTGGGTCGTGAAGTCATGGCTGCAATCTTGGAGTCATCTGCTTGAAGGACCCGTTGGTGATGATATGGCCCAAATATGAAATGGTGCTCGTATAGAACACACACTTTGAAGGCTTAATATATGAGTGATGAGCCATCAGTAGTGATAGAACAGTCTGGAGGAGCACTACATGGGCGTCCACTGTAGAGATGTAAATCAAAATATCATCAAAGAACACAATTAGAAACTTCGTAAGTAAGAGGTGAAAAGATGATTCATGCAAGCCTGGAATATAGACGGTGCATTTGTCAAACCAAAAGGGTACCCGAAATTCATAATGCCCCTCGTGTGTCCAGAATGCTGTTTTATAAATATCTTTGTCACACATCTGTAATTGATGATATCTGGAGCACAAATCCAATTTCGTGAAACAACGCAAACGTCCCAATTCATCAAACAGTTCATCGACGGTGAGAATAGGGAAGTGGTCCGGAACCGTACGTGACAACGTTCAAAGATTGTTAATCCACACAAAAGCGGTGAGAGCCATCCTTCTTTTTGACAAGCAACACTGGGAAGAAAAAAGAAATATGACTCGGATGAATAAGGCCCTTGGGAAGCAACTCTTGGACATGCCGCTCAATCTCGGCCTTCTAAAAATGTGAATAGCGGTAGGGCCGTACATTGACGGCGAGCTGTCGAGGATGAGGAATATGCGGTGGTCGGCGCTACGCCGAGGAGTCGAATATTTCGATTCCTAAAATACTGATGCAAATATACCGAGAAGGGTACATACCTGAACAAGCACGTCGAGCTCGTCTCCGTTGTGTGCGGACTATGATCCCCTAAGATAGTAAACCTCAAAGCATGCAATAGTAGCTTTGTGGGCATGCAAAAAATGTAAACTATTCACGGTGAGGCTCTGCAGTGTGGACTGTCCTCCTTTGAGCAAGATAAGTTTGTCACAACATTAAATTTCAAAGTCATTGAAGCATAATCATGAGTACCCCTGCCAAGTTGTTCTAACCATTGGATTCCAAGAACGACGTGTTGGCCGTGCATCAGTAAAATGAAGACGTCGACCGGAAATAGGGTACCTTGAAGGGACAACGGTGGGTCGGAGCATCTTTTGTCACATGATAAGATATCGTTATTCTCCACATACACCTGGAATGGCGCCACCATAAAGACCGGAATTTGAAGTTTTGAGACAAGGCGAGGATGTATAAAATTATGAGTATTCCCTCCATCTATGAGGACCTAGACGTCGGTGATGTGGAGCTGACCCGTAGTATTATCCATGGTATTCAAAGTGGAAATATCAACGGAGATGGGTTGCGTCTCGGCTTCCAGGTCGTCCGGCACGTCCACGTCCTCATTGCCACATAATAACAAGAAGCAACCGCAACAATGGGTCTTAGACCAGTTTTGGTTGCAAATGAAGCATAAGACCTTCGCCCGATGCTCCAGCCATTCTGCACGCGGCAGGCGACGCACTAGGGTAGATCCCACTTGTTCCACGCAGGAAGGTGATGATGCGGCTCTGATGGCTGCCGAAGGAAATCGTCGTGGAGATTGAAACTCAATAGCATGGGAACATTTACGTTCCAAATGACCTTGGAAGTTTCTAGTGAATGTAAAATCTACGTGAATAGCAGGCCTGCCAAAATGCAAGTGCAATAGGTGCTTTTGAACGGGTCGCCCAAATTTAAAGAGCCCGTTTTTAAAAAATACCCTTAAGCCATGAGTAGGTAAATCTTCTTGTCCAAGCCCAGTCTCTTTTACAAAGTATTCTTTTTTCATTGTCGAAACGTATTTATTTACTCTGTACTTTCTTCCTAAGAGAATTCACAATCCACAAAGTGTCAAAGTAAGGGTGGAGTTCCTTGTGTGGATCCTCAGCCACACAACTTTATGATTGCTTAGATTTCTTATGTTCCTCCTCCCTCTCTTATGTTGGATCATTACCATCTTCTAGAATTTTTACCGAAGAATATTTGAAATAAAAAAACAAAATTAAATCTTTGCCGTAGTAATCAAAAACAAAATATTCTTTGAAGATATAAAAAAAGAATCAATATTCAAACACAAACAAAAATCAGAAATGAAATTAAAAAAATTTGCTAAAAATCTTGAGAGATTTTGAATGTTGTTTGTAGTGAGACAATACTTTTGGGACGGATAAAGTGGTTTGCAAATTTGTCTAATTAAAATTTTGAAGAAAGATGTAAAAGTTGTTAAAATCATATACTATCTCTGTCCTGAAGTATTTGTCTAGTTTTAACTTTTTACAGTCAAAATTGATAAACTTTGATCATAAATTAAACAAAGTTGATAAAAAATATTTTAAAAATATATTACAAATTTAATTTAATAAAAATACTTTTGTATCAATATCTAATAATAATTAAAATATCATATAATTTTTATTTGATTATATGTTAAAGGTTGGTCCTTGTTGACTCCGAAAATCAAAATTGGACAAATATTCTAGGACGAATGGAGCAACACATAATCAACCAAAACCTTGTCAATCACGACCTCAAGCAATTACAACTTTACATTTTTCCCTTATTCATGCGACTACGAACTTCTCCTACTCACCTGATCTGATTGAAATAAATTCTGATATGATTTGATCTGCTTCTAGTTGCATTCAAAGTTATTTGTGATCTGACATGGTCTTATCTAATTTCAATAAAAATAAGTAATAAGAATAAGTTGAAGAAAACAAACTCTAGTTACACTAATAAGCAAGCAACTCTTGGAAACTCCTTGAGTAGAGCATCTCCAACCATACTTGTCATATGGATTTGCTATTTTTACATTATAGCAAGTGAATAGTGATATAGCAAGTACTTTTTTGTTTCATTTTCTAACCATCATTTGCTATTTTATTTTTTAAGTACTGGCTTGCTAAAATTTGGGGGGCTTGTTTTATTTAGCAAGCCAAATTTATTTTTTGGCAAACTTGCTAAAATAAAGCATACCCTTTGGAGAAAAAAAGAAGAAACTAGCTATTTTATAACTTTTAACAAGTTAAAATGATATGGTTGGAGATACTCTGAATAATTAGTGTTATCTACACTCCAATAATTACTAGTGATACTCCACATTTTTTGTTTTTTTTGTTATTTTTCTCTCTTTATTTGATTCTTTTTTTGTTCAGACTTCCGAGTAAAAACAAATGTGCCCCTAACTAAAGTACGAAATAAAATTAATGGTGTTAAAAAAAACTACAGTGTATAATTCATGATTTGTAATATTTGATTGGAATGATTTTAATTTAATTTATTGAAATTGGTATAAAATATTTAAAAATAAAATATGCATATATAGAAACTTGGAGATTTTACAAGGAGGTACCTTCAACATCAAGGACGTACCTTCAACAACAATAGAGAAATCTTGGAGATTCATAAACATATCCAACATTGGTTCTCGACAAACAAGAGAGTAAGGAAGCAAGCTACAACTAGAGAGATAGATAGTTTTGGACTTCAACCTTTTCCTTCAAAGCACTTGTAACTATTTATGTAGTTACCTTTTGCATTTTTTTACTTTCTTATTCTCTATGTTATTTAATACGGAGTAATTGATATAAGATTATGTTTTCAAAAAAAAATCTACATAAAATTCAACAAATTAAAAGGTCGTATTATTATTATTATTTGCAATGTAAAAGCTAAAAAAACTTTTTTATTTTTGAGTCGTTTGAATATAGTCACTTTATGTTTCAAATATAGGGATCAAGTCACGTATATCAGTTGCAATGGGTGAGAAACCCTGAGACATAGAGAGGAAGTGTAAGAGGAAAATTTGTACAGAGAAGAATGTAATTAATGAAAGCATTAGTAAAAATGACAAAAATAACTTCTGTACTGTTGGAAACAATTCGTCCAAATGAACAACACCAAGTTTGGAACATTTGTTTTCACTTTCCTAAATCCTAAACCCCAATTTGGAGTGTAGGTAAACTCGTATAAAATAGTGGCAAGGATTGGAAGCATGTCACCCTCTCCATAAAACCCATCCAAACAAGGAAACAATTCCCTTTACATTTCATTTCATTCCATTCCATTACTTACCTCTTACATCCATTCAAACATAGCTTAAGGGGATTTTAAAATTTAAAAAAAAAAAAAAAAGAGCTTACTATCATAAGCATTCCAAATTTCAATGGCGCATTGGCGCTATTGTAGTAGAGGGTCAAAGGGTTCGGGGAGGGGTTCAAAACCATTGTCAAACATGGTGGCCTCGGACTTGTCATCAATGCTGTGCAACCAATTAGTGTTCTTGACATCCTCTTTGAGTAGGAGCATGTCATAACGACAACTCTCGTACACATCAGCCCCGTCTGTCACTCTTGTTAAAGAAGGCCGTTCATGTCTTTCCTCTTCTTCGCTTCTGTTCTCCAAAGGCCTACCATTATTACTACTTCCTTTTTCTAAGATGGGCTCGCTGTTGTTACTGTTCATACTTCCACTCAAAGATGCCGGGGAACTTGAACCATGCACCTGCTGCTGCTTTTTGGTTCCGTTGGATCGGATGCTAGGAGGGAAGAGTGTCGAGCCTGAAATTGCCCGTGCGCCATTCGGGCCATTTCTTATATCCTGCAACATAAATTATATCTATACGTGGTTGGTAACATCCGGTAGAAGAGAAGATTGCGCCAAGGCGAGTTGAAATTCTATCACATCTAGTGGCCACTTTGGTAGCCACTTTTTTTTGTCTTATGAACTAGATTTCTGAATTGGTTGGCAATGGAAAAGAATGCAACTTGATGTATTTTTTTAATGAAGTCGCCAAGGATGATCATCTCAACCTTTTCACATCTTTATTCTATTAAGAAAAACAAATTTTGCTTTTTCTCACATTACAGTAACTTCATCAGAACTAACCACATGTTCAACCAAATTCAAATTTACCAAATGGGTTCCTTATCTGCATATGATAGTCAGATATAGAAGGAGAACACAATATATCAAGATGCAATATAAGCAGATTGAAATAAGCTTAAAGTAGAATGACTGTGCTTACCATATGCCTGATAGCCACGTCAAGAGATTTCTTTGAGATAGTCCCACCAAAGCCCACACTCTCAGTAGGTGTCCTAACCGATTTCCTCTGAGGCAACTTTGAGCCATGTGAAACTCTGCCAGGGTCGGAGGCATCAGACGAGTGCCCATTTCCAACCACTCGCACTCTTCCAGAGGGTGATGGCTGCCGCCGCGGTGGATTTCCAGCATTTGGAATATCCATAGCCCCTTTTCCAGAGAGGGGAGCACCAGGTCTGGACCTACCAACCGACAGTGGCCTGTCAGGTAATGAGGTTCGCAAATTTGAAGGAGTTTCCAGTGAAAAATCCGGAAGAACAATTGGTTGAGGTGTTCGTCGAATTGGTGGACCTGGGGAGCTTGGGCGTGATACTGAGGCTGTACTTCTAGCAGGGGAGCTTGGGCGCGAAACTGAACCTACATTTCTTCCATTGCTGACAGTGCGTCCAGAGGATGGTGTTGGCAAAACTGACGGAAAAGAATTCCGACGTGTAGGTGTTGATGGTCTTGATGTAGTAGATCGAGGAGCAGAAGAACTCATCGATGAAGTAATCTGAGGCCTAGAGGTTGGGGTGGAAGGTCTCGAGCTTTGGGATGGTCTGGAACCGGTGCTAAGGGATGGATGTCCTCTCGGAGGAGTTGAAGGCCTTGACAGT